GACGCCAAATCGCAAGTCGTTCTTGTCCTTCTCGGACAGAGCGGGGAGATCGACGTCGGTCTTGGGGAGATTGACGCCCTTCTTGGAGGAGATCTTGCCGTTGTTGATAGCACGACAGTGGAGCGTCTTCTCGTCCGCAACCTTGAGGACCTCGAATGCGAGAACACCATCATCGACGTAGATTATGCGGCCGGCTTCAATGACCTTGGTAATGTTCTTGTAGTCGACGTACCTACGGACTGTCAGTCGCGGGGAGTGGATCAAGAGGACGGGGACTTACATGTTCTTGTTGTCGCTGGCGGTGGCATACTTGTCGTCAGTGGTGATATTGATCTCGTCGCCAGCTGAAATAGGAATGTCCGCATCACCAACAGTGTTTCCCGTGCGGATCTCTGGGCCCTTAGTGTCAAGAGCAATGGCAACAGGACGGCCAGGTTGTTCCTTCTCGGCCTGACGGGCATTGTCGATGACGGACTGGTGGTATTCGTAGGAGCCGTGGGAGAAGTTCATGCGGACAACATTGAGTCCGGCTTTCCGCAGCATATTAATCTTCTCCGGAGAGTTTGTCTTGGGGCCGATAGTGCAGATAATGGAGGTGCGGCGGAACTCGCGCTTGGGCTTGTACTGTGTGTTGAGCTGGGCCAGCCACTCGACACGAGTGCGGCCAGCATTGAGGTGGGCGAGTGAGTCTGCCATTGCGAGGGGTTGTGCTGTGGAAGGGTGGTGTGCAGGAGAGGAAGAGCGAGAAGTGCGATTGTATGTGATAAGCGGAGGAAGAGAGTCGCTGCTGTTGCCAGACCCTGTGTAGCGGGGAAGTGGGAGCTGGAGAAGGCGGTGGGGTGAAGAGGAAGAAGAATGCAAAGACGACAGCGGCACACTCTTGTCGTTTCTGTCTGGATTCTTTCGGTCAAGTGTCGGTCCGGGTCAGGAAGAGGCAGTGAGAACTGAGAATCAAGGACGGACCTAGTGGTGTGGTTTTTTTCTGGTGAGAGTCAGAGGAGCTGCTTGGATTGACGGGCAACAGAGCTCCCCCTCACCTCCCGCCAAAGCTCCCCCCCAATCGCTGCAAATGCGCAAATGCCCGCCGCCGGCCCCGCGTTTCTCAGCTTTTTTTCAGCTGTTCCTGTTCCCGCCCGCCCCAAGCTTCTCAACAAATCCGCTTGCTAAGAACACACCGCGCCCCAATAAACATGCGACGATTGAGACGTGCGACATCGGGCTGCAGCTAGCGGCCCTGCTGCTGGATGCAACACAAGGCTGACCGCGTGTCATGTTGCAGCGAGAGCATTGGCCGTGCTTGGGACTGCCACGCTCGCCGGACCACCTTTCTCACACATTTCCAACCGTGACAAGCCCCGTCTAAGAACCGCGTGTACCTGACTACAAACATGTCAATGTCAATTCGCCGGATCGACGTCAACCCTGTGCCTGTTCTTCCCACTGCTTGCTTCCCGCCACCATGTAATAGTTCTCCCTTATGGGTAGCATATCACCAAAGCGAACGAATGTCATTATAATGATCTATGTTTGTCTGTTGTAGTTGTTCCATTGCCTTTAACCTACCTGTATGTCGCAGTCCTCCTGTTGGGAACTCTCCCGTCTCTCGTGGATGATTCCAACTCGTATACTGCTGCGATACAGGACTAATCATGGAATAGACCAATGTCACATTGGAATCGCAATTACTACTTCGGTGGCCAGAAAGATCTTGTTTGATTTCCCATCGTACACAACTATTCTTTGTTTCCGTGCGTCTTCCACCAGAGCCGCACCAATCACCGTGACGTCACATCAAACACCTCTCTCTGCCTCTCCAGCACTCGCAGCACAACCTCACGCGCACCTACAACCACCACCCAATCCAACATCACCACCTTCCAATCTCTCAACTACCAGATTTACAAGACCAAAGCAACCATGTTTACCCTCCGTCGCCTCACCCCCGCTCTCCGCCCCTCAAGCCGTTCCCTCACCCGCCCGCTCTCCACCACCCCACGTCTCCTCAAGAAGCCCACAGAGGACAAAGACTCCCTGCACCCGCAATACAACGAATACAGCAAATCGAGCGACGACTCCGCGGCGTCGGAGCACAGCGAGGCGTTTTCGCGCAACTCGACCCGGCCGGAGGAGCAGCTCGTAAGTCCCCCTTACTCCCCCAGGTCCAAAAGGGATGGTCGAGGGACTGACAGACATAAGCAGGGGAGCAAAGACGACGCATTGAACGTCTCGCCGGCGAATAAAGACGTGAGCAAGCCGAGGAAACAGGACGAGGGCGGCGCGGAGAGCAGTAGTCGGCAGTCTGGCGAAGGGCCGACGGATAGGAAGAGGTCGAGCGGTGGGTCGGGACAGGAGGGGAGCTACAAGGGTGGTGAGGGGAAGAGGTATGACTCGTGATGTTGTATGAGATTGCGCATCGAAGGGAAAGAGCAGGGGAGGAAGGAGAGAATGGCAAAATGGCGTTCTCACTGAGAGCTTGACTGCAATGGTGGCTCATAGGATCAATGCATAGCAGATACTCGTGACGCAAAAAGGATACTGCAAACGCAATATCACATATTCATTCCTCCTGGAACGCTATTTACACTGACGCCTTTATACACCCGAGTGTCGCCGTGCCTTGTGGGCAATCTGTAGCATTAAAACTCATCATCATCTTGACCTGTTCTTTTCTTGAGCTCGATCTGAGCTCTGTCATCTTCCTTTACTGTATTTTCTATGCAAAGCCCATCGCGACTCCAGTCGTATACGCCATTCGTAGGCGAATAAGGTCATAAAAAGAGCTGCCATCTGCTACTAGCAGCGAAAGGAAAAATCCATCCTCGACACTGGAATGGGTCGACGCGGGTATGAGATTGCCACGCGTGGCAGCGAAACCGCAGACCCAGTAGTGTCAGACACACCAGAAGTTGGCCACAGCGCACTGCTCTCACGCCCCAATGAGAGATCCAGCAGTCTCAGAATCGACATCCGAAGCGAAAGACGCTTCCTCCATCATTTCCGCACATGGCTCAACCAGACATGGTCTTCGGGTTGGGAGCGCCCGAGCTCTCGCCAGGCTTCTTGCCTTTGCTGCTTGACTCTGGCACCGCCGGTGCGCCAGGCTGGTCGTCCCCATACAGATGATGCTCCTCAATGTACTTGACTACCGGCTCGGGTACCAAGTACCGGATGCTCATGTCGCGGCGACGGAAAAGGCGGATCTTTGTGCTCGAAATGTCGTTCTGCACCAGCTGCTGAATCACATAGATGTTGTCATTCCACCGTTGAAGAGTCGACAGCGCTTCGTCCATGTCTGTGCCACTCCGCTAGAATTAAGTCAGTCTGATATTCTTCTTGCAGACTCAGAACTCCAACCCACCTCAACAATGAAAGCGCCAAAGTTGCTCAAGATATAATCAATATCCTTTGCAGCCCATACACCAGGTGTGCTCATCGTCTGAATGAGATCTGCACCAGCCAACAGAGCGATCCTCGCCTTCTTCCTGCCCGCGGGAGTCTCGATACCGCCCCGAACCACATTTATCTCATGCTCGAAATGGTCCAACACCTTTGCCGTCTCCAGGTATTGTTCGTGCAGCGCCTCCCAAGGATCCACGCTGATCCAGCTGCTCTGCTCCACAGCGAGGTTGCACATGTTTATCCGGTGTTCCGCTCGGGCCAGGCCAGTCTTCTTGTATGCATCGCCCACAGCCGACAGATAGGCACCGCAAACCTCGAAGTTTGTATTGAAGCGCACGTAATCGGCCGCCATCTCGAACATGCGCAGGTGGAGGAACGTGATTGGTGAGAAGGATCCGCATGCGATCAGTACCAGAGGTTCCTTCGAACCGTCTTCGATCCGCCGCGTGAGGCGCTCCGTGGGAAATATGTAGCTCTCCATTGCTGACGGCAGAGATTGTGGAGTAAAATGGATTGATCTTTCTCGGAAGAACAGAGGCGAAGACCTCGGTCGAACGACTGCGCCTTGGATATGAGGCTTCGGGGTGATTGAAAACGTGGACGATGCTATGGACCTCTTTGGCCTTTGCAATGTCGAGGAATGCGTATGGCGGTAGGAATTTGCGCCCGATTGACTATGGACCGCTTGACGGATTTTCTGGGTGACGCTCAAGGTGCTCCTCGAATGCGCGATTTCGGCCGGATGCAATGTCGGAAGCAGCCGGAGAGTCAGTCGATGGCGCAAGTGTAGATTGAGGGGCAGGCAGCAGGCAGCCACTGTGCCGCTGGTCTGTATGTAGCAAGGTTGTCTCGAGGCGAGTTGTGCGACACAAGTTGCGGAGTATGCGGTGTGGTGTAGGTAGTAACTATAAGGCAGCGAGATCGGGCGAGGTTGAGGTTGGGATGGGATGGGCTGGACCGCGGAGGAGGAAGTGGCAGAACGGATTGCGAATCGTGGAGCGGGGCGGGTCATGTCGCCCGGGTTTTCGTCGCCCGCAACCGGTGATTCATGCGCCGGTTCGCAATCACGTGTGGCTCATGCAACGGTTAATGCTAAGCAGCCACCTACCGTGCATCAGCATTGCCTGTAAGGACACCAGGAGCATGTAGAGAATATCTCTATGTCGGAAGTAGGTGGTATCAACGAGATACCAACGATGACATCGCTATGCCACTTACTATGCAGGGCGCATGCAAAGCCACCACGCTTGCAGTGCGTACGGATGAGCTCGGTCACGACAAGCTATAACAACTGCCGATTAGATCACCCACGCCAATGATCGTGGTCATGTGCTCATAGACACTTCAACGTAGCTTCTGGCTGAGCGGCTGGCATGTCTGTATTGTGACATAGCCTCAGTAGCAATACTCGGCGCACCGAAGTCGGCAACGTGCAGCACGTGAGACTGCGCAGTACTACGTCTGGGTTAGACCACGCTGCTTTGAGCGCTTTTCATCAGCCCCAAAATAATATGCAACAAGTTGAGATGCAGTTACATGTCCATGACCAACGTTTCTTCATAGGAAGTATGTTGTGAAAGACAAGAGCAAAAAGTCAAACGTGGACGCTGTGGGAATTGAACCCACGACCTTTCACAAACACAAGAACAGACATGCGAAGCGAAAATCATACCCCTAGACCAAGCGCCCTAAGTCTGATGCATGACTCGAAGGCTTAGAAATAATATATACCCGTCCCAGAATTCACATTACCTGCTTCCGGCTATATCGCTGCCACTCAAGTATCGCACATTTATCATACACGAATAGAAGAGACGATCGTTTATTATTATCCTCTGCTTATTAGATCTACTACCACCAACGTCACAGGGCATCAACGCGACGAGAAAAGATGATAAAAGTTCATGATCATTCGCAGACAAAATCAAAGACCGCGTCCTGCACAACCATCCAGAGAGGTTGTGTGATTAGAGGTACGGTTCTTACGTTGCGCTTTCCCACGAGCCGGGGTATAACTTCTCTCTCGCATTCATCCTCCTCAGGCTCCCTGCGCCAACTGATTGATGATCGTGTTCCTGGGGTGCAAAGACATCCTAAGCCGCCTGCGCCCGCTCGTCTTCACGACCACGGGTTTCACCATTGACGCTCTCCTCACCCTCCTCCTCCTCATCGTAGTCCTCGCCTGCCGCGTGACGGCTGGCGGGCACCCACATGCCGCTCTCACGGTTGCCCTCCATGGGGGCGTCCTGACCGCTGAGATCGACGGCCTCACCAGTGTGGCGAGCCTTGCGACGTTGAGAAAGGGTACGGGCACGGGTAGACAGCTTGGAAGAGACAGCAGCGTTCTGCTCGACCCAGTTGGTAAGCGCATCCTCGCAATCCTGGATAATGCTAGACATAGTTTTAGTTCGTGTTCATGCCTGATGTGGTTGTCAAGTCTACTCACGCTTTGCTGGCTTCGTAACCGTCATAGGCGTTGCGGGTCTCGCCGGGAGTGACCGGAGTATCGTCAATAAGCTCCAAAAGGTGCTTGCCGAAGCCGGCAATGATGGCGAGCTTCTCCGAGTGCTCACGGAGGGCATCGAATTGGTAGTGGAAAGCGGCCTTCAGCTTCTCGCGGGTGATGTTGGAAAGCTGAGCCTCAGCGACGAGGGACTCGGCCTCAGCACGAACAAGCTCCTGCTCCAAGACGACAATCTTGGGCGAGTTGGGCTCCTTGTACTTGAGTTGAGCAATCTGATCGGTGATCTTCTGCTTGCCTGTGAAATGTCAGGGTGATGAACATATTAGATATTGGCTACAAAACACTCACGATCTCTGCTCGGCTGCACGGAAGCCTCAATGTTGCGGATACTCTTGATGGTGACGCGATACTGGTCGTAGCGGTCGACGAACTGGTCCTCGAGCTCTCCGATCTCGTAGATGAGGACACCAAGCTTGTCGGTGACATCCGAGACGTCGTCATCGCATGCCTCACCCCAGATGGACAATTGTTGCTGCAAAATCGTCAGTATCGTGTCGAACTCAGTAAGGATGAGGACTACTCACAGCAACTTCCATGCGCTCGCGACCGACAAGCTCCATGCTGCGCATCACGTTCTTCTCCATCTTGACGAGCTGCGACAGCTTCTTGGCAAGATCGGGACCGAAAGCACCGGCGGCATTGCGACGGAACGAGTGACCAATGTTGGCCTTGCCGAAGAAACGACCGCTCTTGGTGCTAGAGGTAGGGGGAGGAGGGTTCTGGATCTGCGAAGCAGTCGGCGCCCGCGACTGGCGCATAGAGTACGTGCGATGCATGTTGAGTGGATGTGAGGGATGTTAGAGTGTGTATGTGGGATATAGGAGTGCAATGCGTGAGAAAAGAGCAGATGAATGTGAAGCGGCTCTTTTGTGCGATGAGAGGGAGATAGGAGTGGGACAAAAGGTAGGACGACGGCGGCGGAAGCGCGCAGTTATTGCGGATGGAGTAGGTCGGAGCACGGCGGGGGGGAACGACACGGCGCCAGGCGTACCAGGCCCTGCGATCTACGTCAGAGGCAGGCCACAAGCCCAACTTTGTCCGCCGCGCAACGAAGCAGCTTGAGACAAAACCCCGGCCCGGCCACAGCGCAAGCATCTCGTCATCACCAGCCATTGGCCCCCTCTAGCCTCTAGTCTCTGGTCCTTAGCACCGTCGCCGCCGCCGCCGCCCCTCGCGTTGTCGCAGCCGCTAGTTTGTCTTGAGTTGCATACAAAGCTCTGGTTGCTGCTGACGGAGAAGATCGTCGCTCAGCTACTCTACACCACCGGGAAGCCCTGCATACTCGCCCAGCAGTTCTGTCACTGTCAGGGGAAATTTTCGACATGCGCCGTGGAAGTATCACAAGACTCTCATTTGACATTGTTGTAACACCGCAACCATACCATATCGCTTCCGGTCTCACCTGTGCTCGCGCCAGGCTTTGCTGCGCGCTACCCAATCTCCTCGGCAACCTGTGGATCTGCGCCAGCCAGGCTACGTCATGGCTGGCCTCGAGCCCGCTAGATCGCCCCAATCCTATCTCAACCCAAATCTGGACGCGTCTCAGGCACGCCTGAACCACACCAAAGCGATCGCAGTCTGGCCACCCCCTGGCACGGATTGACAGGGCATGATGGCGTAGTGGTGTAGAGGTTTTTATTATTTACAGGTTGCCCAGCACCGACAAAGCAGCTCCCGCCGCACCGTAGTCCGACAGTCTTTTGCGACCGAACAAATGCACCTCCTCTCCCTGTGGCCAGAATCCTAGCCTGTATGCAACCCAACCACCAAGCGCTATGGAAGCTATCGAAGAAAACATTGCTTGTGGGAGGTAGTCGATGGCCATCGTCGACCTTACAGCGTGTGCTTTTGCAGGCCGTACTGGCTGATGCTCTGGTAGAAGCGGAATCTGACCCAGCAGTGCATGTCCGCAAAACGACATCTTGTTGCCGAAGCTAACATCTGGAGTCTTCACCCATGGCAGACCACCACCTTTGCCTCGCAAGACAAGGTCTGCTGGTGTTTTTCCGGCAGCATCGTCTATGCGTACGTCCAACTTGCTCGTCAATCGGGTCACAAAGTCGGCCAGTGGCTTGTAATGCATCAACATGATGTCTGATGCCCAGCTCTGAGGCAGCGTCCTGTTAGCCAGTAGGCTGAGGTATCCGAATGCAAAGCACGCCGCTGGACTTGGCCATTCATCCTCTGTTAGATCTGAGTCCGTATCTTGTATCATGTCCATCAGCGGCTCGTAGAAATTGTCGGCAAGATTCTTCAGCTTGAATGTGCCGCTGTGCTCTGGTCGCCGTAGCATGCTTCGTACCGTGCTCTTCCGGCCTAGTAGACCCCTTGCTCTCTTCTCAGTCTCCTTGTCAAATCTTTGTTCTGCGAGCGACATATTTTCTGGCGGCTTATCGTCCAGGACCGACTCGTGCACGTCGTCCATGTCGATTCCTGAAATACCGAGATGTCTTGTGCGGTCGCGTGCAGCAGCTCTCCGCTGAGGTGGAACAATGTAGTTTGCATACCACGGCAAGATCTTTGTGAAGCCAGGTCGCGTTCTGCCGCTGTAGTTCTCGTACGACACATAGTATGCGATATCGATCAGTGTCTGACCGTGCGACTCGACGAATGCCTCGATGCTGCTTTGCGGATGTCAGTTATTGATAGACCATCCTCGCTGTTGTGACATACATATGCTCGGCCTTCCGAGTCCTCGTAGTTCCGTCCAAATACTGCGCAATCTCTCGAAACCCAGACACCTTCCTTCCCTCGACCTCCAGCAGAGGCAGAAGATCAAAGTCGTCCGCGGCGCAAACGAGCTGCCATTGTCCGCCCGTTCGCTTCTCCCACGCCCTGAGTAGCGCGACTGCAGCACTACATTGCGGATCAATTGAAGCGCAGCCAAAGGCTGGGCCTAGTATGTGCAACCTCATGGGCGCTCTGGAACAGAAAGTCTGCTAGAACAACTGCCAGCTCCACATATGACCCTACAGCTCGAGGAAGAAAGTTCGCCGGTAAATAGCTGCTGAGTCATCCGACCTTTTGCTGGTTCCCTGGGGCCGGGGAACAAGCCAGTCGTCTGCGCTGCGACGAGTTGGATGATTGTCCCGGCAAAGAGCCAGATTTAAGGCAGTCCGAGAATCGCTCCAGATGCTCTCAATAGTTGCTCAGCTAATGGCCCGACTACTCGCGGGGCTACCGGCCGGCTTGCTTCCTAGACTACTTTCCGACCTGTGGTCCAGACAGCGCATTGGTGTATCTGGAGGACCACTCGCGGGACCTCTCGCAGGAGTAGTTGCTGCAGTCTGCTGAACGCGTGTTCGGCCTTCACTAAGGAGTCGTCACGGGCCATATGCGGAACCAATTATTCACAGGGTAGCAAGTCACATTATCGCCGACTATCTTGAGCAAAGAGGCTACATATTTATGTGTGCAAATATTGTGCAACCTCGGCCCTTCCTCTCCTGCTACGCACGGCCGAACTAATTGGTTGACGCATTTTGTCCGCCGCGAGGTCTGTGAAGTCACGGCTGACGACTGGCTGTCATCAAGCCTACAGAGTGAAGTGATTGCGCATGCGAATAACTTCACAGCATGTGCAAGGTGAGCTGCAGGGCTACGCGGAGGCTCAAGCCTCGAAAGCAAGCCGTGCAAAATGTGCAAACTGCGGAAAAACTGCCCGTGCACTAGTGACTCAGACGAGCAACAAGTGCAAACAGCTCGTCTTGGCAGAGGCTCCCCGTCCGTATAAATATCTCGTCCCAGGCCTGACTTCGAAAAAGCATCTAAGGTTCGTTGTCCCACCCCGACCCTCACATTTTGTGATGGTCAAGCTACTCTTGATCAATACGCTAACGTCTCAATAGTGCATGGGCTTAACGCGTATCAGTGAGGATTCGTCCGAGATCGTGTTTTTGCTAGTTGAAAACTATCACATGACCGCTTCAGTTGGTCTCCGGATCGGCTGGGAATCTTTGGAAAAAAATATGTCTGATACGCATTCTCGCGATTTGGTTCTCCACCTGCGCAAGGCGCCTTCTGCTGTTCACACTTCGCCGGGCAAGATGCTTGTGTGCGATTTGTGGACTGGTTGCAAGGTTCTAGGTGCAAGCCTGTCGTCGTTGGCTGTTGTATGTCTTTTCATTGTTGCTCTTCGGCCTGGCCGGGGGCGCAGAGAAGAGAT